ACAGGAACTTATGGCTATGGGTTAGCATTCTAAGAATTATACACAAAGATAATTATTGCTTGATGATTGGTTGTTGGACATTTTAAAGGTTTACGCCCCTATTAAACTTACCGATAACAACTTTTCCAAAAGCATTTTTTTTCTTTTTTCTCTGACTGTCCAGGGCCCTATAGCTGCACTACCTGTCACCTTCCGCACGGGTGGCCCAGTCGTCTAAGGCGCCGCGATTTGCTGTGCAGAGTTGCGTCCCTTGGGCACGCCAGAAACCTATGATTGTGGGTTCGAATCCCGGTTCGCCCCGATTATGTTTCTAGGTTTGTCAGCACCATACCCGTGCTCGTGGGTTTCACCGAAGTGGTAAACGTCTGAGACCTGCATCACTTCGGGCTTTCCTCCCACATTAAGCTGACAGGCCGTGATATAACTGGAATACTGTTAAAAGCGGCGTAAAACCCAACTCACTCACTCCTATCCAGGAGCCAAGGCGTACCCGACAGAGTTAGCTCCCCTGCAGTGTGCCCGGGCAGCAGAGATCCGCCAGTTTGCTACAGAAGCGCGGGAGTACAGTACACAGCAGTCGTCACCACTCGCCTCTTTCCGCAACCTGCAAGAAGACTCCACCCCTCACCAACTATTACCTAGACGCTGAAGAATCGCTGTCCAACTTTTTGACTTTGTGTACCTGACGACAGGAACTTATTGGGTCCAGGTGTGCATTGTGTCACGTCATTTCCATTACTTTTGACCTATTTCAAAATTATTTCAACTTGCAAAAATACATATGGTTGCTGTCGTCTAAACTTCACCCATGAGCTTTGTCTTCCGTCATCCCCCTAAGCTACCATCCGAGGGCACCAAAGAATGCTGTTGGACATTATCTCAGGATCGAAATTGTATTGTGCGAACCTAATTCGATAAATTACCTGATTAGTGTCATACCCTCAGAAGGCAGTGGCTGATTGGGCAAATGTGAGGCTCACATATTATTGGTAGACCTGTGGTTTTCACGGGAATGTATTAAATATCTATAACTGTAAGATTTCTGATGTGACGCATTATTGACATAAACATACACTGAATGACAACAGAAGGTCAATTCGTTGGGTGAGTGTGGGTGAGTTGGGTTTAACGCCGCTTTAAACAGTAGTATTCCGGTTTTATCGCGGCGTGTCAGCTAAATGTGGGAGGAAAGCCAGAGGTGATGCAGGTCTCAGACGTTTACCACTTCGGTGAAACCCACGAGCACGGGTATGGTGCTGACAAACCTAGAAACATAATCGGGGCGAACCGGGATTCCAACCCACAATCATAGGTTTCTGGCGTGCCCAAGGGACTATTGGACTCAACCCCAAAAAGAACTAGAATCTGTACTTGTTAAACTTGACCACTTTCTAAAAAGCATTGTGTATTCACCTTACATACAGCTCATCTTAACCGCTACTACAGGTCATAGAATTACATGATAACAATGAAGATTACTTTTATTAGGACATGAAATATCACACAACTGGGTGTGGTTGCAAGCAAATTGCCCATGTATTCTAGTAACTTGCCAACCAGCATGCTATAATCCCACTATTACATATCAGTCACATTCCTGCAACAGCTATGCATATGTTGAAATAAAGCCATAAAACCATTCCATAAACATAAGAGTCAGAGTATATTGTACAATGTCACTTATGCCTCAAATTTGGAAATGTTACCCACAATTGCTATAAAATTTGAAACACGAACGCTTTGCAGTGGCCTCGAATACTCTTACCCTAATCCAACTTCTGATTATGACCTTCTTTGAAAACTTCGTCGAAAGAGCGTGCTCGATTGTCCCTCAAAAGTTGTGAAATGTAGACACCAAGATGTTGGGCTGCAGGAATATTGCTCCACATAAAGGGAAAGTTGACCATTGGAAAGTTGAATTCATTCCTCCTGTCATACAGTCTTATGAATACTGTATATCACTCTGAATCTTAATGCACGGATTTAACTATGAAACAGATGAGGTTGTTTCTCTGGTCACTTTTCTTCCTAGTTCAGGTGGGTAAATCAATGGAAGGGATTTGGTTATTAAAAAATAATGAAAATTCTACAATGACACTGAAGAAAATGCTTGATTCTTATTGGTTAAGAAGAGGTTTCCTTTTTGCCACGGAAACTCCTTTTGAATATATTTAACCTTTTCACATAAAAAATCGTAGCTTGCATATCGATCCATGAACGATGGCTGCATACAAGCTGGTACAACACAGCTGAGAACAACGGCTGTTAAGTACCCATTGATAAAAGACCAAGTTGACAACGCCATATAACTTTTGACAATAAGAGACAGAGACGTCACACTTATTCCCACCTGACACAGAACTATCAAATATATTTACCCATATTTACGCTTCTGTTACTATTTTATCAAGTCAGGCGCCACTACGAAAAGTATTGAATTTCCCATTCTGTCGCACATTCCTATATGAAAATTTCAATTAGGATATGATTAAAATCGAAATGATAAACATGCATTTTGTGTTCCCATAGTGACAATATCTAAACGTGATTGAAGTGGCAATACATTTGTTTTCCATGTTCATGTCAATTGTCATTTATTTAGTTAAATTACCAGCTTATGTGAACATGGATCATTTCATCATTACACTGTCTGCATTTGAGAATAATTCCGTGATATTTATTTTTGTCATTGTTGTGAAAAGGCCATGTGAAGTCTGAAACTACCTGTAATCAACAGTGGCAGGTCAAAGGTTAGCACGTAAAAAACTGTGTGAGACTCGCACCTGTGTTTCGCTGATTCCCAAAAAATTTACTGGCTGAGTTCTCCTGTATTATAAAGACATAGTATTATTATAAAGCCCCCCACAATATGACATTATCGAAATCACTAACGAACTCTCAAAGATTCAGAATACATTAGCCGAAATGCCAAAAAAATCGCAAGTAAAGGAATTCATATCATCAACGGTAGATAACGCCGTACAGTCTCTGTGTCACCATTAAACATGAATTTAAAGAAGAGATTATCTCTGAACTAGAAGCTGATCGTCTGAAAAGTGACATTCTTGAGCTGCATCGTGAAAACACGAAACTAGTGGCGCGACTTGAAGACATAGAAACTATGATTTAGGATATGTGTACAAAATATGACCAAGTATCTGCCCAGTCAAGTGTCGCCCTCAGACTTGCAAATCAGAATGAACAGTTTTGTAGAAAAGTAGTATAGATGATGGGGGTTTTGCCGCAATCCACCATGAACCATTCCCGAACCCTATCAATGCTAAAGTCTTAAGTTTATGTGAATTATATGATGACTATCCAAGGATCGACAGGTCCTTTAAAGCTAAATTGTAATGAAAAGGGGTTCTGCCACAACCCGCCCTGGAAAAGGCCTGAACCCTATCAATGCTTCTACGGGGGTCTTAAGTTTATGTGAATTATATGATGACTATCCAAGGATCATAAGGTAAATTGTATAAAAATATTCTCTATTGTTTTTACTTGTGGTAATTCTCGTCATTTGATAATTTTGTCCCGGTGTAGGAGGCACAATCACTCCACAGGCTCACACGACTCTAGAGTCATTTGAGGCTAGGCTCAGATGACTCTCCTTAGGCCCACACGACTCCCCCATCTTAGGCTCAGATAACTTCACAGGCTCAAATGACTCCCCCATTTGTTTCGATGATACAGCACAGTATTTTCGATGATTGCTCCCCATTTTTTTACATATTGTGAAATTACCAGATTTTTTGCATTATAAGATTTTATGTGATAAATTTGAAGGACATTATCAAGTTATTTTGTTTAGACTTTTAAATACTGTTACATCAGCAACTAAATTTTCTGATCTCTCTGATGTGAGATTGATGTTTTACTGCAATATTTGTTTAACTTAGAAAATATTTGTATTCATTATTCTGTTTGATTTACTAACTTTGTAGTTCAAATAATACTGCACCTGATGTTTGACTGTAATGTCTGTAATATTTTTTAGAAAGGTCCTAATAATATTGGCCCTATGATCTGTTTATCAATCTTATTTCTTCATGGAAAATGTTGATATTCATGTACGATCATTATGTAACAAAATTAATGGAAACATTTTTAAAACATGAAAATAATTACTTTACCTAAAGTGATATGTTAATCAGTTTCCTTTTTGAGGTTATTTTTATCATCTTATTACCTTAAAGTAATGTTAAAGTGTGATTTGTGTTCAGAAATCATTTCTTTGTGCACGAAGTCGGCGCGGTCATTGTTTTATTGGGTTATAGGTGGCTGCTGCACTTAGGTCTCTTTATACACGAAAACTAATCGTCGTGTAATTTTAAGATATATCAGTGTGTTTTTTAAAAGTTACCTATTGTTTTTAATGCAGCGACTCGCAAATTACAATACACTAAATCTCGGTAACTCCCACGTACCCGTTTCTCAGTTTTGAAGCGATTTATCTCTTACTCTGTGTCTTAAGGACTGTAAAAACACTGACACATTTCCAACATCTTGACTTTTCAATTCAAATGAGAAAACCCAGGTAAACAATCAAGGTTACAACATTCAAAGCAAATCGTTCAAAAGGTATTTTGGTAGACATGTGGAGGACATTCCAAAATATGACACATCAGTGACAAAAACGATGTCCGATGTAACAATCTGGTGAACATTTGCCTTGCCTTTGCATGTGTTTGTGACGGGTGTTACCAGTGGGTCAGGATACGCTCACCTTTTCTCGAACACCTGGCGTTACCCCTGAAACTGCAATTTTAGCATTGCATATAACATTGACGAGGACATCGAAGATAGCTCATTCTTATGAACTTAATCAAAAGTTATAGAAAAAACAAGAACTTGGGTGAGTGTGAACATGGTTTGGCGACCTACTTCGCCTGCAGTGACCTCAATCTATATCAACCTGAGTCATGTTTGAGTTCTTCATTCGTGGTAAGCACATATGTCCCCAGGAAGGTAAGTCACTGTCTGGTCCGTCATGTATCATTGTAACTTCTATCTGAGACATGACAGGGCGAGATCACAGCCCCCATGTTTATGTATGCTTATAACATAGCGTAGAACATTGTTTGAACAGAATCGTGACTGACAATAGCAAAACGGGAGAAGAGTGAAACACATTGTGCTTGACTGGAAACCATTGCAGTGAAGCGGGTGGTCTACGAAATATGACAACAGCAGGTACGTGGTTGCAAACGGTAATCTTGTATTTTATCTGGATCCACACGACCAATCCGTACGTATGTTACATCGTCAACCAGTCCTTACGTATGTTACATAGTCAACCAATCCGTACGTATGTTACATAGTCAACCAATCCGTACGTATGTCACATAGTCAACCAATCCGTACGTATGTCACATAGTCAACCAATCCGTACGTATGTCACATAGTCAACCGATCCGTACGTATATTACATAATCAACCAATCCGTACGTATGTTACAGTCAACCAATCCGTACGTATGTTACAGTCAACCAATCCGTACGTATGTTACAGTCAACCAATCCGTACGTATGTCACATAGTCAACCAATCCGTACGTATGTCACATAGTCAACCAATCCGTACGTATGTCACATAGTCAACCAATCCGTACGTATGTCACATAGTCAACCAATCCGTACGTATGTTACATAGTCAACCAATCCGTACGTATGTCACATAGTCAACCAATCCGTACGTATGTCACATAGTCAACCAATCCGTACGTATATTACATAATCAACCAATCCGTACGTATGTTACAGTCAACCAATCCGTACGTATGTCACATAGTCAACCAATCCGTACGTATGTTACATAGTCAACCAATCCGTACGTATATTACATAATCAACCAATCCGTACGTATGTTACAGTCAACCAATCCGTACGTATGTCACATAGTCAACCAATCCGTACGTATGTTACATAGTCAACCAATCCGTACGTATGTTACAGTCAACCAATCCGTACGTATGTTACATAGTCAACCAATCCGTACGTATGTCACATAGTCAACCAATCCGTACGTATATTACAATCAACCAATCCGTACGTATGTTGCATAGTCAACTAACATCTAGCCTCTGAAATGATTTTTTTACAGTAAAAAACAGGTGTTAAATAAAATAAATTCTTTATAAAATATAATAAAAAGGAACCCAGAGGCTCTCTTCACTTTCAGATACTGCAGTAATCTAGACTTGCCAAATATTATAGACTTGCATGGGCTGTATTGGATATATTTGTTTCAGGTAAGACAGACTAGGTACAAAGGGATTATATCCATTGAACTGACCAATGCCAGTACAATACGCCTTCTCCAGAAATGAACATTTCTAAAATTATGACATATCCGTATCTTACTGATCCCATCTATGTTACCTTAGATGTCCGTGTATGCCCCCATTGACTTAATGACGTGACAACGAACGTGTTTTTAGGAAGACCTAGACAGTCAGTGTTGAAGGCAGCATATACAATTGTTAATCTACAACATCTTGATATAAACATTTTTATTTCCAAAAAGTGGAGGGATTGGCAGACAAGCAAATTGTGCTTATCTGAATGCCTCTCCCAAACATGATACAAATTACAATGTATTGATAGTGACATGAGAAATAGCATACATTGTATACTTGACATTAAAGACAAGTATTGTTCTGTAAGTGTTTAATTACTGGATTATCTTTCATAACTATAGTTACGTTATTTTTTACATCCAGCACATGTCAACAACATCGCAGTATCATATAGCAAAGCCAACATCTCAGACAAAATCTCTAAATCGGCAAGAAGACAGAATATAACTGAGCACTGATTTCAAGAATTTCAGGATTTGATACAGTCGTTAAATGTGAATTACCATATAGAATTGAATTTAAATCGTAGCCTTTTACGAAATAGTACATATTTTGCCTTACTGTACTGCTTAAGGGACACGTAAGAAAGAAATGAAGTGCATCTTCCGTGTGATAGCCACAACATCTCGGGCTGTCGGATATAAATCTGGCAAATTTGTCGGCATTAAGATCACTGCAGCCAAGCCTGAGACGGGAGTGTAGAACACGATAGAATCTTTATCCATAATTTACATCAAAGTATATACCATTCCTATCATTGCTTTTTATAAAACTTCCTAAGCCACTGGCATTGGTGTATTCAATAAGTAGTGAGTTCCAAATATTAACAGTACTGTATCTGAGATAAATGATTTGGCATAATTATTTGTTTTACACTTTATATTTTGCTGCTGTGAGCAGTTTCTCAAATTATAATCACTTGCATCCAACACTCTACTTGGAACTAAGGATGCCATTCAAATCAGATGGTTTTACGTGATGTTATAATGGAATATTTAAAGGCATGCAAGTACACGATATATTTGTACCGGTTCAAACATGGGAAACTCCACACTTCTGACACCTGAACTAGATGGTAAGAACCACAAGAACATTCCTTGTGGTGCTATACCCCGAATAAATACAACCACAAGAATATTCTCTGTATATTGACTTAAGACTGCACTGTGTCAACGCATACTGTCATAATCGCCAGATGATTCAAAATTCTTTTGTTAACAAAATATTGTAAATATTTGTTCATTCTTCTAAAATGTTCATGAGAAAAGACAATCCAAATCACCTTTTTATATTTTATATATATCTGTACCAAACTTGGAATATATAGGTTGTTTTTTGTCATTGACAGTGTTGGTATTTTTTGCAAATAAGTTTCAAAATACAAACCCATTAACTTCTTTGAGAGGCATTTAGAAGTTGGAGTACCAAGTAAGGCTAAGATATATGGATGAACAACTTCTTTATTACAATTAGGAGCGACGTTTCGGTGTAGGTTCTAACACTGTTATCAAGCAAGTGATGTAAAGAGTATGGTTGACAAGTATATATACAGGATAGGAGGCAGTGTTTATACAGTTGAGTAGGTTTAAGGTACATGGTATCTCAGTGAGCTAGCACTATTAATCGGCATTAGTCCGGACCGGTACAAGCAGCCACGCCCGCACGCACACACACACACACACACACACACACACACACACACACACACACACACACACACACACCCTATTATATATTGTACACTTGCATTTAGACTTGTGATATCTTCTTGTCATATTAATTGTTTATATTTCATATAGATGATTTTTGAACATGCCATGCCTGACTGACGTTGCTTGGCGATTTAATGTCGCATCATGGACACCAACAAACCAATGACGTCAGAGATCGACCTGGAACAGAAACATGACACAATCACCGATCTCAGAAAATTGTCGTAAAAGGCGACTAACGGGATCGGGTGGCAGGCTCGCTGACTTGGTTGATGCATGTCATTGATCCCAATTGCGTGGATCGATGCTCATGATGTCAATCACTGGATTGTCTGGTCCAGACTCGATTATTTACAGACCGCCGTCATATAGCTGTAATATTGCTGAGTGCGGCGTTAAACAACAAACCAACCAACCAACAGAAATCAATTTCAGCCAGCTGCACTGACGGCTGTAACCATTCCATGATATCGGTAGGTCTTTGCGCCCCGTGAGGGGCGGTCGGGTAGCCTTGTGGTTAAAGCGTTAGCTCGTCACGCCGAATACCCGGGTTCGATTCCCGACATGGGCACAATGTGTGAAGCATATTTCTGGTGTCCACCGCCGTGATATTGCTGAAATATTGTTAAAAGCAGCGTAAAACCAAACTCACTCACTCACTCACTCACTTTGCGCCCCGTGAAGATCTATTGTCATGATGTCAAACATGGATCGACTTGTCCAGACTTGAACTGGGAACATTGTAAGACGCCCACAACGACGTCCGATTTTGAAGAAAAAACACCAAAGGTTACGACTCACCTGGTGCAAACATCATGTTCGTTGTATGTCACGTTAATGGACATCAGAGGCTTTTTCTTAGTTGAATTCCCTTCTCTTCACACACAGACGGTAGAACACGAGTATACCGACGTTGTGGTGAATGCTGCCCTCAGCCATGCTTTCTGGGGGGGTACTGTTACGGTGGGGGTCGAGAGAAGGTGTAGACCCCCACACCATGACTCCACCCCACCTATCGACCCTGCTCACCACCCACAGAACTGAAATAGTCGTTGTTCCTACAAACCGGGCAGTTGTTTGTATAGTGATGAAGGTTTGCTACTCGCTGTATGGCCGTTCATCCAACGTTATGTCCCGGATGTGATTTACAGACATGACAACGCAAGACCACCAGGTGTCCGGGGTGTTGTAACAGAATCATCAGCATCATAACGTAAATACACTGCCCTGGACGACATTGCGCCCAAGGGGGGACATATCTGACTCTGCCACATAACCATTTCCATAATCATAAGAAATCCCTACTAAAAGAGTGACCATTGTTCCGACTATATCATAAGCATATGTTTACGAATCATTATCAAATAGTGAAGCTTCCGAGTGTGCGGTTGGTTGGTTGGTTTGATGTTTAACGCCGCACTCAGCAATATTCCAGCTATATGATGGCAGTCTGTAAATAACTGAGTCTGGACCAGACAATCCTGTGATTGATATCATGAGCAACAAACAACAAACAAACAATTGTTTTAGTACGTCACAAAAGCTTTTGCCTGATATGACGTTTCATCAGAAACCTAAAACAAAACAATTCTACTTCCTCATGTATCATTGTAAAACTTGTCAATTGTAGTCCGTAAGAGATACCCACATGTGACAGTATGTAACTTCATTTAGAGGCTGATACTTAATCATATTAGTACAAAGATGCTGTATTCTGCAATATTCAATAGGTCGGGGGTATGAGTCTGAAACTCAACAGTGGGGGAGTGAGTGAGTGAGTGAGTGAGAAAGCCCGAAGTGATGCAGGTCTCAGACGTTTACCACTTCGGTGAAACCCACGAGCACGGGTATGGTGCTGACAAACCTGGAAACATAATCCGGCGAACCGGAATTCGAACCCACAATCATAGGTTTCTGACGTGCACAAGGGAAGCAACTCTGCACAGCGAATCGCGGCGCCTTAGATGACTTGGCCACCCGTACCCCCCGACACTCAATTGACCATAGGTTGTACTGTTGGCATGGCATAGGAGTGTATTATACTTCTTAATTATCAATATACTGTTAATGTCAATAGGGAAAGGTTTGGTGGAGAGACTACAAGATGGCGAAAACGTCATCTGTGCGGAGGGATACATGTGGGAGCTGGAGAGAAGAGGTTTCCTCAGATCCGGGGCCTTCACACCGGAAGTAGTTATAGATCATCCAGAAAGAGTCCGAAATCTCCATGAAGAATTCGTCCATGCCGGAAGTGACGTTGTGGAGGCCTTCACGGTGAGAGAAGACAAACACGATTAGACGTTTAATTGAAAAAGATGTTTATTATCTTGCAAAACTAACGAAATTGTGCCTGTGTCGAAATTGTTGAATGAAACTTTCTTTTCTTTTCTTTAGTACTACGGCCACCGAGCAAAGATGCGAATGATTGGAAGGGAAGATGAACTGGAAACTTTAAATCTCGCAGCACTTAAGATCGCGCGAGATGTTGCTGACAGAACGGGGACTCTGATGGCAGGGAATCTTTCCAACACAACAACCTATGACCCAGGGAATCCTGAATCTATTGAGGAAGTCAAGTCTATATTTAAAGTAGGTGGTATAATGATTGTGTTTTGCAAAATATGTCCCTTGATTTGGTATAAAGTTCTTTTTTTTCAATTGTCTGCGGTGGTGCTGTCGATGACAGTATGTCAAAACTCGATGGCATGTCTGATTATAAGAATATGACCTTTTCCTTTCCTAATGACGTCATGCCATTGTATTCTTTTCCCTAGGAACAAGTGGAGTGGGCCGTGAAGGGGAGGGCGGACTACTTTATTGCGGAGACATTCGACTCGTGTAGTGAGGCCAGCCTCGCTCTGGAGGCCATCCGGAAGTATGGAAAAGGCACGTTATAATATATGTTACTTATTGGCGGACGTGTTTTGTCGAATACTCAGATGAGTCACGCGGCATCAAACTGTTTATGATTGCAGGTCTTCCTGCTGTGATCACAATGGCGGCGTATGTGCCGGACAGAACCACAGACGACGTCCCCTTCCCCCAGGCATTGAGGAGGCTAGAAGAGGAGGGGGCGGCGGTCGTGGGGCTGAACTGTGCTCGAGGTCCGGCCACCATGTTGCCACTACTGAGGCAGATCCGACAGACCTGTAAGGTGAGTCTTGGTCCCTGTCAGGGTTCAGTCTCTCTGGTGGATCCACAGATCAGACAGGCCTGTAAGGTGAGTCTTGGTCTCTGTCAGAGTTCAGTCTCTCTGGTGGATCCACAGATCAGACAGGCCTGTAAGGTGAGTCTTGGTCCCTGTCAGGGTTCAGTCTCTCTGGTGGATCCACAGATCAGACAGGCCTGTAAGGTGAGTCTTGGTCTCTGTCAGAGTTCAGTCTCTCTGGTATATCCACAGATCAGACAGGCCTGTGAGGTGAGTCTAGGTCCCCGCCAGAGTCCAGTGTCCCTGGTGGATGGACATATCAGACAGAGTCTCGGGCCATGATAGATTATCTCTGGTGGGTGAACAGATCAGACAGGCCTGTAAGGTGAGTCTTGGTCCATGATAGATTCTCTCTGGTGGGTGAACAGATCAGACAGGTCTGTAAGGTGAGTCTCGGGCCATGATAGATTATCTCTGGTGGATCCACAGATCAGACAGGTCTGTAAGGTGAGTCTCGGGCCATGATAGATTATCTCTTGTGGATCCACAGATCAGACAGACCTGTAAGGTGAGTCTCGGGCCATGATAGATTATCTCTGGTGGATCAACAGATCAGACAGACCTGTAAGGTGAGTCTCGGGCCATGATAGATTATCTCTTGTGGATCCACAGATCAGACAGACCTGTAAGGTGAGTCTTGTTCCATGATAGATATTCTCTGGTGAATCAACAGATCGGACAGGCCTGCAAGGTGTGTCTTGTTCCATGATAGATTCTGTCTGGTGAATCAACAGATCGGACAGGCCTGCAAGGTGTGTCTTGTTCCATGATAGATTCTGTCTGGTGAATCAACAGATCGGACAGGCCTGCAAGGTGTGTCTTGTTCCATGATAGATTCTGTCTGGTGGATCCACAGATCGGACAGAACGGCAAGGTGAGTACCCCTATTGTGTTATATACTTGGGCTTCAGCTGGAATGAGGACGCCTCTATGTCATGAACCTTGAACCCTGTGTTCCGATATCAGCTTTTTTGTTTGGTTGTGCGTGCATGCGTGTGTGCATGTGTCGTCTTTCGGCATATAGCAATGTTTAACATTGTTCGAATGAATTATTCCTGACTGTGTGATGTGTGAGATGCAAAAGTCCTTTTTCTTCACCCTTACACTTCAACACAAACGTCTGTCGAACTATTTTCTCTGACTGTCCAGGGCCCTATAGCTGCACTACCTGTCACCTTCCGCACCACGCCCCAACAGAAGTGCTTCCAGTGCCTCACAGACCCAGTGACAGGTAGGAACATGTGTTGATGCTAATCTCAATAGTTTCACTCTCCTTTCGTCTGAATAGTCCATTAAATTCCGAGTAACACACTTCACACCTATAAAGAGCATGATTATGATGTGAATGGATATATGGATAGCTTAAATACCCGGTCCATTTCCTATTCAGGAGCCAAGTCGTACCCGACAGAGTTAGCTCCCCTGCAGTGCACCCGGGCAGAGATCCGCCAGTTTGCTACAGAAGCGCGGGAGTTGGGCGTACAGTACATAGGTCTGTGCTGTGGCAGCGCCACCTACTATCTGAGGGAGGTCGCCATTGCTTACGGCCGCGATCCACCAGCAGCTAAATTTAAGCCAGAACTTTCTATGAGTATAGTAACAGGAGGCGGTAGAGGAGAAAGAGTGAAGAAAACACGAGCCTTCATGGTTGGGGATATTCAATGAAGCAAAGTCTCATCGAACCGGAAGCGCTAGTTCGTAAACATTAGTTCGTCATTAGAAGCAAACCCCTAATAAAGAAGTCCATCAAACATCACTGACTTATTGGATATACTGTCGCCGGTTTACCTCTAATATACTACTCAAAAGAAGTTGAGGAACATCCGATATTTTCATGTAATCTGTTATATGAGGGGCGGTCGGGTAGCCTAGTGGTTAAAGCGTTAGCTCGTCACGCCGAAGACCTGGGTTCGATTCCCGACATGGGTACAATGTGTGAAGCCCATTTCTGGTGTCCCCCGCCGTGATATTGCTGGAATATTGCTAAAAGCGGCGTAAAACCAAACTCACTCACTCACTACTACTAACACCGCTCCCTGAATGTTCAGCCCCTTCTCATTCAATACACAGCATGCTTGACATGCGGCAAGATGCCCTCACGTGTAGGTTCCACCAGTGTGTTACTTTATACTCTAATGATGTGTGTCATTATCACCATTACTGTACACTAGTTGTAACAGTCTTAATGCAGACTTTGTTTAAATTGTTTCTGTACCAGGCCCCTCCTAGGTGCATATGTCACGCCGAAGACCCGGGATCGATTCCCGACATGGGTATAATTCTAGTGTCCCCCGCCGTGATATTGCTGGAATATGTAGCTAAAAGCTTCCGATCGTAAAACCATACTCACTCACTCACTCACTGTTATATGAAAAGAATCGGGTATTCTTTAACTTCTTTTGAGTAGTTTATATCTGCTCTGATGACCCACTAGAGAGACGAGACTGTCATGGACTAGAAACGAAATATTGTTAGTGAGTACTGTAATCTTATCAAAATCAGAACTTTCAATCCCACACGACAGCGTGAATACCAGTATCTGACAAACCGTCCAAAAGAGGTGACCAGGGCGTCAGATAAACTTAATAACCAGTGCCCATGCTTCTACGGGTTTTTTTTCTTATAAGAGAGCAAAGCATTCAGAGAGGCATACCAGATTTCTGTATCTCGAAAACAAACTTAAACAGGCAGTTCCGAATGTAAAATAATAAGAGTAACGCTGTTATATTGTGGATAATACACGGTCGTTCCCGAGTGCCATGGCATCTACAACCAAAATGATATACTATCGAGAGTATATTTGTGATACATTTGTCCTTTCTGCAGATTTCCAAATCGCGAAAGTAAATAAAAGAAGACGAATGTTTTAAAAAATCTGATATATGATTGGTTCAGGAACCGCATCAACCTTATTTTCACTGGGTGGTGAAAGTTCACTGACACGACCATCTATGGTTTGTGTGTTTGGTGTCATGATAATGTTAACACTTAAGATTTGTTACAAGTAAATTATCATGGTCAGACAATATTTAGAGAGGACATGGCAGAAACGTCAGCACTACATCCCCACACCCATCCGGCATAGGGCACTGGGCCACTTATCCAGGCTTTTTAAGGAGCGTCTTTCAATTTTATCAGTAGCAACATCATCAACCGAAAACAACCTAGGCCCATGAAAGAGTGAGTGAGTGAGCATGGTTTTACGCCACTATTACAACATCCCAGCGGTATCACAGGACATCAGCGTTATGGAGACAGGGTGCGTTTTGTGATCACACGTTAACTTCCAAGTGATAAAAGAATGCAATAAATCCGCCGAGCAATTCGCGTTTTTTAGTCGCTCTATTTGTAGTGTAAACCTCATCTATTATAGTGTAAACCTCATCTATTGTAGGGTAAACCTCATCTATTGCAGTGTAAACCTCATTTATTGTAGTGTAAACCTCATCTATTATAGTGTAAACCTCATCTATTGTAGTGTAAACCTCATCTATTGTAGTGTAAACCTCATCTATTGCAGTGTAAACCTCATTTATTGTAGTGTAAACCTCATGTTTTATAGTGTAAACCTCATCTATTGTAGTGTAAACCTCATCTATTGTAGTGTAAACCTCATCTATTGCAGTGTAAACCTCATTTATTGTAGTGTAAACCTCATCTATTGTAGTGTAAACCTCATCTATTGTAGTGTAAACCTCATCTATTGCAGTGTAAACCTCATTTATTGTAGTGTAAACCTCATCTATTGTAGTGTAAACCTCATCTATTGTAGTGTAAACCTCATCTATTGCAGTGTAAACTCATCTATTGTAGTGTTAACTTCATCTTTTGTAGTGTAAACTTCATCTACTGTAGTGTAAACCTCATCTATTGTAGTGTAAACCTCATCTATTGTAGTGTAAACCTCATCTATTGCAATGTAAACCTCATCTATTATAGTGTAAACCTCATCTATTGCAGTGTAAACCTCATCTATTGCAGTGTAAACCTCAACTATTGTAGTGTAAACCTCATTTATTGTAGTGTAAACCTCATCTATTGTAGTGTAAACCTCATCTATTGCAGTGTAAACCTCATTTATTGTAGTGTAAACCTCATCTATTGTAGTGTAAACCTCATCTATTGTAGTGTAAACCTCATCTATTGCAGTGTAAACCTCATTTATTGTAGTGTAAACCTCATCTATTGTAGTGTAAACCTCATCTATTGTAGTGTAAACCTCATCTATTGCAGTGTAAACTCATCTATTGTAGTGTTAACTTCATCTTTTGTAGTGTAAACTTCATCTACTGTAGTGTAAACCTCATCTATTGTAGTGTAAACCTCATCTATTGTAGTGTAAACCTCATCTATTGCAATGTAAACCTCATCTATTATAGTGTAAACCTCATCTATTGCAGTGTAAACCTCATCTATTGCAGTGTAAACCTCAACTATTGTAGTGTAAACCTCATTTATTGTAGTGTAAACCTCATCTATTGTAGTGTAAACCTCATCTATTGCAGTGTAAACCTCATCTATTGTAGTGTAAACTTCATCTTTTGTAGTGTAAACTTCATCTACTGTAGTGTAAACCTCATCTATTGTAGTGTAAACCTCATCTATTGAAGTGTAAACTTCATCTATTGTAGTGTAAACTTCATCTATTGTAGTGTAAACCTCATCTATTGTAGTGTAAACTTCATCTATTGTAGTGTAAACCTCATCCAGTGTAGTGTTAACTCATCTATTGTAGTGTAAACCTCATCTAATGAGTCCATGGGGGTGGTCGGGTAACCTAGTGGTTAAAGCGTTCGCTCGCTACGCCGAAGACCCGGGTTCGATTCCCGACAAGGGTACAAAGTGTGAAGCACATTTCTGGTGTCCCCCGCCGTGATATTACTAGAATATTGCTAAAAGCGGCGTAAAACCAAACTCACTAATGAATCCATGTCTTGTATACAATTTACGATGTGGCTTTCTTTATTCTTTATTACGCACTGTTATCAAGAGTAACACGTTTTGGTATGGGATTTTGCGGAGGGGTAGCCTAGTGGTTAAAGCGTTAGCACGTCATGCTGAAGGCCCGGGTTTCATTTCCCACACGGGTGCAATGTGTGAAGCCCATTTCCGCCCTGATATTGCTGGAATGTTGCTTAAAGTGGCGTAAAACTATATTCACTCGCTTAGGTTCGCGATAAATACTATTCGTATGGAATAGTGTCACTATGTTCGAAGCGTCCTATAAATCCCCATTCCATGCTGGCTGTCGCGAAAACCCATTCTTCATACGCCGCTCTTCAGCAGATTCTCTCAACATGTGCACCTGTACAGGCGAGACGATGCCCCGCGATGTGCTGCCTGTGTTCCGGCTATGTCCAGACGTTGTTCATAGATACTTGTGTCAAACTGAGATGTTTTCAGAGTACTCATCAACTACTTGATTGATATACATCATAACCTTTGAGTTTGCAGACAGAATTTGGGCCTGGAACGACCTAGCAAATTTGCTAGGACAGCCATATTGCCGTAAGCTCATTCTCCCTTTAATCAGGGGAATACCGTGTTCTGGAGTGACGCATAACCGTAGTGATGCTTCGTCACACTAGGAAAGGCCAGCTGGCTCGTGTCACTTAAAATTTATACACAGGTCACATCAGCAATATCGCTCATACTAATATTTTCTTGTCACTCGACCCTCGATGAGATTAAGGTGTTCTCTTCCACTCCTGGCGTTTCTCGTAGAAACATGTTTCTCATAAACATGACCCCTCTCACCGACCTGTATTCTAATACATTAGTCTAGTAGTTAAGGAGTTTAATTACCCAAATGGTAAAATCATGTGCCGCTTTTTCAAGGTCATCTTTAAGAAGACATTAATCAACACTGATGTGTCATATATGTTGGACGCAAAGAAGCCTGCTCTTCGCTTGATCACAACTGTGTACTTGCAGCCTGAGAGTTATATTTAAATACCCAGACCCGTGAAGATTCCGGGGTAGAATAGGTCTTCAGCAACCCATGCTTGCCGTAAAAGGTGACTATGCTTGTTGTAAATGGCGACTAACGGGATCGGGTGGTATCGATCCCACTACCCCACTGTTGAGTGTCAGACTCAAACCCCCGACCTATTGTATATTGGAGAATACAACATCTTTGTACTGATATGATTAAGTATCAGCCTCTTAATGAAGTTACATACTGTCACATATGGGTATCTGTTTCGGACTACAATTGACAAGTTTTACAATGATACATGAGGAAGTAGAATTGTTTAGTTTTAGGTTTCTGATGAAACGTCACATCAATGTTAAATATATTCAGAGGCAAAAGCTTTTGTGACGTACTAAAACAATTGTTTGTTTGTTGCTCATGATATCAATCACTGGACTGTCTGGTCCAGACTTGATTATTTACAGACCGTCGTCATATAGCTGGAATATTGCTGAATGCGGCGTTAAACAACAAACCAACCAACCATTGATGAAGAGCAGGGCATCCATCAGTTTTCCCATGTGGTTGGTTTTGGTAGGCAGACGAAGCCGGAGGATAAAACTAAAAACATAAGTAAACATGAATATCTTATGAGTGAGTGAGTTGGGTCTAAGGCCGCTTTGAACATTATTCCAGTTATATTACAGCGTGTCAGTTTAGTGTGTGAGTAAACACTGAAGTGAGCACGGGTATGGAGATGATGAATTTAGAAACGTTATCGGGGCGAACCGGGATTCGAGCCCACAGTCATAGGTTTTTGGCATG